GAGAAGCTGAGAGACCTGCCTGTGGCCACAGCCCTGCGTCCCTCTGAATCACAGACTGCTCTTTCTTCCCCAGGCTTGCTGTCTCTGCACATCTGTGGCTCCGACAGTTTCTGGCGTTAACAACCCTGATAGCCAATCACCACTGGAAACATCACTAGCCTAAAATCCCAAGATGAAATCTTACTGGAGGGAGTTCCCAGGCTGAGGATCGAGAGAGCCAAAAGGCCTGAGCAGAAGGCCAGCGAATCTCAGGACGTCCGGCATTTAAGCCACTCTGAGGCCTAAATGAGATGTGGCTTTTCTCCTTTACTCCCTGTTCCCCAACATTTCCTTGATCAGCTAATGGGCCCCAGCTGGGAACGGACGTTCCAGCAGAAATCGGGGCCGGGGTCTGACAGGCTCCGGTGGGCGGCCCTGGCCAGGAGGAGAATGCCACTGTTTATTTGGAATGGCTATGCCCTCCTCTGAGGGAGGTCAAGTGGTCAGATGTGTCCAAGACGATTAGTGAAATCTAACAGGGATGTCACTGGATTTGGGAAGAGGGCCATCTAGTTTAAAGCTCCTGCCCAGCAATGTCCCCAGTGCCCGATAGGTACCAGTCGCCAATTATGGTTAGTGGAGGGCAGGGGTGAGGGGAGGTGAGCCACTCTGAACCTCAGGAGCTTCTGAAATTTGCTTTATATGTATATGCTCCGTGGTCCAGAAGAGGCCTCAACAGGGCACACCGGCTCACCTACAAAGCTGCTCGGAAGGTTGAACGGTTTGCCCCAGGAGAGGAAACGCCACTGGTCCTAGGGTCTCCTCAGCAGCTCCACAGACAGCGGGGGCACTGGACAGAGCCTGGTCTTTGGAGCTGGACAAATGACTTCAAATGCTCGCTCTGCTGTCTCATTGCTTAACACCCCTGAGCCTAGGTTTTCTCAGCTGTCAGATGGGAATTATAGGAAAGACAGCAATGAGCAGGTCTGGCCATCAGTATGCAACAGTTCTGACTCCACCATTAACCTGTGATGCCTCTCAGTGCTACCGTGGATTCCGTTCCTGTCCCTCTCACAGCAACCCCAGAGGGTGAGCTGGGGGCTGCGATTCCTCATGAGAAAGTCAAGGCTCAGGGGAGTTAAGGGAGCTGCCCAAGATTAGAAAAAAATTAAGGCTTTTTCTGACTTCAGTCCTTTCCATCCAAAACCCATATTAGTTTCCTAGCGCTGCCATAACAAATTACCACAAACTTGGTGTCTTACAACAACAGAAATTTATTCTCTTGCAGTTCTGGTGGCTAGAAGTCCAAATCAACGTGTCAGCAGGGTTGCTTCCCTCTGGAGTCTCTGAGAGAGAATCCTTGCCATACACCTGTCCTAGCTTCTGGTGGCTGCAGGCAACCATCAGTGTGCCTTGGCTTAGGGATGCTTAACTCCAGTGTCAGCCTCCAGCTTCACATGCCCTTCTCTCTGTGAAACTATGTGCCACTGGACACTCGTGACTGGATAAAGAGCCCACTCTAATCAGGATGATCTCACCTTGAGATCCTTACTTTAATTACATCTGCAAAGACCCTTATTCCAAATAAGGTCATATTCTGAGGTTCTGGGTGGACACATCTTTTGTGGGCCACAATTCAACCCACTACAGTTCACCCTCTGGTCCCCAAAACTTCACATCCATCCCACATGCAAAATACTTTCACTCCATCCCAACATCCCCAAATTCTCACCCCATTACAGCATTAACTCTATGTACAAAATCTCATCTAAATCTCATCAGCTCAAAAATCTCATCATCTAAGTCAACTAATTAAGCATGGCTGATACCGGTATGATCCATCCTGAGGCAAAATGTCTCTCCACCTGTGGACCTGTGAAATTAGAAAACAAGTTATCTCCTTTCAAAATACAGGCATAGGGAGAAAATGTAAAAAACACAGAGGTCACTGGTCCCAAGCAAGTTTGAAACCCAGCAGAGCAAATTCCATTAGTTTTCCAGGCCTGAGAATGACCCTCTGTGGCTTGATCCTCCACCCTCTGGCAGCACAGAGGCTCCACTGGCCTCTGCCTCTGGGCTGGCCTCTCTGGCCTCTACCTTTGCATCCACAGCTCTGCCCTTGGAGCCAGTCATTCTTCCTTTTTCTTGAAGGATAACACGTGTCTGTAGCTTAGTTCTATCAGGCTATTTCCTACACGTAGAATCCTCGAAGTCCCATCACATTTTTTTCTTGTTCATTTTGTCAGGTATCTCTCTTCCTGGCTTCTGCTGCGATGTTTGATTGGATCCATGAGTCACACACCAAATCTCTTTAGCACAGGCTGTCCAGCCTCACCTGTGGCCTGTCTCCAGAGCATGCTTTCTCAAAGTGCATTTCCTACCTTTAGTGTCCTTTGGAATCTGGATACGCCGAGAATCTTCCAAATCATCAAGCACTGGCTCCCTTTTGCTAACAGTTCCTTCCTCAATTCATTCCTTTCCTCTTACATTTTACTATAAGCAGCAAAGGAGAAACCAGGCTGCACCTTCCACACTTTGCTTGGAAAACTCCTCAGCCAAATATCCAAGTTCATTGCTTACAAGTTCTGCTTTCCCTGACTAGTAAATTAGAGAATTATACAGCAAGAGATACCAAGAGGGTTGAAAGTAGGCTGGGGGCAAACAGGTGCACAAAAGCAATAGGAGAATTAAATTGATGTTTCCCAAGCACCTGCCACGTGCCCAGGTCCTGTAGATCAGTAACTGGGACCCTGATAGGAAAGCTCCACCTTCATAAGGAGGGAAAGAGTAGCCAAAGACCTCAGGTCACATCCCCACTCAAACACCCCCATCTGCTTAACGTGACTATCTCTGCCTCAGCCTCCCCACATCCTTGGTGCTTGCATTGCAGCCACCAATCCTGTCATCAGGCACATTCTCCTCCCTCTAGAGCCTCAAGCACCCACAATTCAAAGTCTATCTCCCACAGAGCCCTCTTCCGATCCCTCCTTTCTATGCCCAGCTGCTCTCACAGGCTGTGAACATGTCTTCTCCAGGGCAGAAGGGATGCCAGGTCAGGGTGGCCCCTAGGGGTCTGCCTTAGTGAGCACAGGGAATGGAAAGAAATTTAGCATTTGATTCATTCTCTGTTCCAGCCAAGAATTAACACACAGTCACTATCCTAATCTTAACTTTGTTAAATATGTTTATTTTCATAATTTTGTGTTTTATTTACTAAGATTTGCACTTTTAGGGGCCAGCCCAGTGGCGTAGTGGTTGGGTTCACACACTCCACTTCTGTGGCCCAGGGTTTGGATCCCAGGTGCGGACCTATATACCACTCGTGGGCCATGCTGTGGCAGCATCCCATATACAAAGTAGAGGAAGACTGGCACCAATGTTAGCTCAGGGACAGTCTTCCTCAAGCAGAAAGAGGAAGATTAGCAACAGATGTTAGCTCAAGGACAATCTGCCTCTCCAAAAAAAAAGATTTCCACTTTTAGTCCCTGCCACAACATGGATTTCTCACCCCTCAAATGCCCCTTTCCTATATCCTTCCAGGCTGCCCTAGACTAGGAATGGCCTAGGTGCTCCCTGTCCTCTACTTGCTCAGGGCAGACACTGCAGTCATGGCCCTCCCCCACTCCCATGTGGTAAATTTCATGTGTCAACTTGGCTGGGCCACTGTACCCAGATATTTGGTCAAGTATTATTCTGGCTGTTTCCGTGAAGGTGTTTTTTGGATGAGAATAACATTTAAATGGGTAGACTTTGGGTAAAGCAGATTATCCTCCATAATGTGGGTGGACTCCATCCAATTAGTTAAAGGCCTAAATAGAAAAAGACTGACCTCCCTGGAAAAAGAGGAAATTCTGCCAGCTGACAGCCTTTGTACTAGAAACCAGCTCTTCTCTGGGTCTCCATCTTGCTGGCCTACCCTGCAGATTTTGGACTTGCCAGGCCTCACAATCACGTGAGCCAATTCCTTAAAATACATCTCTCTCTCTGTACACATGGACACATACATCCTTTCGGTTTTGTTTCTCTAGAGGACACATACCTAGTGACCCAGACAACCTCAAATTCTGTCTCAATGCAGCCCTCCAGGGAGAACTCTCAGTTAGCATGCAGACTGAATTCATTCACCTAAGGCTGTGAGTACATCCTGCAGCTGGCACTATCCTTGGCTTAGTACAGAGGGCCAAGGGTGTGCCTCTACTTCCCTGCCTCTCAGTTCCCTTGAGAACTAGAGAACTTCCCCAAACACCAGAAATCCTGGCAAGGTCTCCCTAGTTCCAACCATCCCTTGTTCCCCACCCTTTATTCCCCTTGAAGGGGAAGGGCGGTCTGGGAGGCTTTAAGTTTTTCTTCTCCAAAAAACTAAAACCATAAGAAAAGCCCACTGAACAAGGGGAATATCAAGGCCACTGGACACCTTTGAAATCAGAGCTAGGCCAGAAGTTACTGGAAGATAGGGAGACAGCCAGCTGTTCACTCTTTTCACAGGCCTTCTGAGGGATGACACAGCATCTGCTGGTGGTCACTAGGAGTGTGAAACTCATCTGGATATTTTCCAGAGAACATGACTGGGAGACACAAGATTCTAATTGTGTTTAATTTGAAATTCTTATGGTTAAGCAAAAGGTACCCAGAAATCAGTCCACATGTACTTGCCACCCTGGTACAGGTTGTTTGTAGAAAGGGAGGGTTTACACACAGCACCCTCACTTGTTGACCATGTGATCCTGAGCCCCCCACACCTTCTGGAGCCTCAGTTTCTCTACCTATAAAGAGTATCTACTTGGGAGGCTCATCACGGCACATCAAAGGCCTCCAATAAACGGCTGTTATTATGAGACTTAGGGAGAGTGGTAGTTTTCGAATCCAGGCAGGGCAGGAGAGAAGATGGAGCAGAGCAGAGACAGCTGGGCCAGCCTCAGGGAGCGGGCTCAGCAGGCTCAGCAGCTAGAGAGGCAAAGGGACTGTCCCCACCCCTTGCTGCTAGAGAGAGAGACCAAAAGGAAGAACAAGGTAAGACTGACCTTGAGGGCAGGAATCTCCACACTGTCGCCAAGGCTGATGGAGCCTGAAAGGATGGTCCCTGTCATCACAGTGCCTTGGCCTTTGATGGAGAAACAGTGGTCCACAGACATGAGGAACGGTCCTGAAGGGTCTCTCGTTGGGATGGAAATCTGGGACGTCAGGAGCTAGAAAAGAAATGCTGGTGCCACATCCTGTCGGGGAGAGGACCTCAATGGGGCAGGGCAGAGGAGGGCAGAGGGTGTAACCAGTGCCTGGGCAAGCTGGTCCAGGAGATCAGAAACAGACAACTCCCTAATTGCACTCCAAACGTCTGCCGTGCTCTCAGCTCCTGCTCAGCACAAAGGAGAAGGGCACTTGGAGAAGCCTCCTCTGTCCTCTCCCATTGGGTATACTGAAACAGTCTCCTAACAGCCAAGCTCCAGGCCCTCCTCCCCACTGCAGCAGAGACAGCCTGCTCCAGGACACCCTCAGTCACATAGCTCCTTGGCCTCATGTGGTTTCCCAGCCTCCTGATGCCTGAAAGATTTAAGATTCATCATCACCTAGCCCCTAGCTACCATTCAGATCTCATCTCCCGCCACTTCCCCTCTCACACCAGGCACCAGCTGCTCCAGGCCCTGGAAGTTCACTAGCTGGCTTGCCTCACCCTTCTCCTGGGTGACACAGCCTGTGGAAGGGCTTTTCTGCCCTTTTTGTATGCCTGCGTTCCCCGCCCCCTACTGCCACAACTAACACTTGTGATCCTCTGTTTATCTGTCTCCCCTCCTAGGGCTGTGAGTACTTCCAAGTATCTCCAGCAGCTGGCATCCTGCCTAAGAGGACAGCGACTGAAGGAAAAACAAAGGAGGCGGGGAGAGAAGGGCTGTCCCCAGGGGCAGCTGCCTCTGTTTGGTGGGGGTGGAGGGTAGACCACTTCTCCAAGCCCCCAGCAGAGACAGAGGGACAATCTAACATCTGCCAAAGAGCCAGTGACGCCCCCTCAGTCTGTGGTTCTGCCTTTCCTTCTTTGCTGATTCTTTCCATATGCTTCCACATCAACCAACCCATTTTCCTCATGCCATCTATGTGCTCAGAGATGTTGTCAGAGCTAATTACCAATAAACAAATGAAAATAAATACTGCCTTATTCCTTTTATTTTGCTACTTTCTGATTTTGTTAGGGAGTAGGCTGTCAAAAAAGTATTTGGCAGTGAATATTCCAAACTCTTAGTCTTGTGATAACAATTCTTTTTAAAAAGACTAGAGACTTAAAACATGCTTGGTCTCAGATTTATGCAGAGGTTTCTTAGAGGAATCTTTCAGAGCAGGCTTTTCTGGGATTCTGCTTTAACAAAAATAACTGTCCCAGGCTCCCAGACTAGTACTATCTGGAGTGATGAAAAAGTAACAAAAGCCTCATCCAGAAAAATGTTGGTTTTGCTAAGTTAGCAAGATGAGCACCATGTAATCGTAGAAACAGTGGCAGTGCACGTGGTCACACCTGCTCTTGGCTCTGTGGATCCATGTGCAGGTGGACCCCAAAGCCAACCCCAACAACTGCCCTAGGTCTGAATCTTGGCTCCATGATGTACTCACTGTGAGACCTTGGGCAAGTTATTTAACCTCTCTGAATCTCAGACTCTTTCTTGGTAAAATGGGGATAAATAAGCCTCCCAAGGTCACTGTGATTGGTAATGATCACGTAGGAAAAGAACTTAGTACAGTGACTGGTATGTGATAATCAACATCACCATCACAGTAAACTCTGACGTGGCACCATTCTGAACACGTTATACATATTAACACACTAAATCCTCACACCAACTCCACGAGTAAGTGATGCTCTTATCTTCCCTACTTTACAAGTGAGGGAACTGAGGCAAGGGAGAGCAGGTCAAGTGCCTAAGGTCAGAGAGAGAGCAGGTAGTGGGGCCATCGGGGGAACCCACCGTCCAGCCCCAGCATCAATATACCTTGCCACTCCCCCTCTCGGAGCTGCCCCAAGTGCTCAGCAGAGGGACACTGCAGTCCCGATTCTCACTGCCATCTTCATAGCAGCATCACCCCACCACCCCCACCCCACCTGCTGCCGCCCTGGCACCCTGCAGATGTCTGGGCTCCCTCCCTCTGTCCACTACCACTGAGCCTGGAGGAACGGCTGGGCCTCGGCCCCACGGCTTCAGAAGATGAAGCCTCCACCCCTTTGGTGGAGGCCACAAGGATGTAAGCTGCAGTGCCCCTGCTGCTGGACCCATCTCCTTCACCCTGCCTCACTGGCCCCCAGCCCAGGTGGGGCCTACAGGAGGGGCTGGTACAGTCTGAAGGACATGGCCCCAGAGTTCCAGACTGGCAGGAGCTGCTATATGGAGGTGTCTGACAAGAGAAAGAAAAAAGGAAGACTTACAAGGGTGTGAACAGCTCCGCAGAGCCATGGGCTCCAGGGTGGAGGCCTTGGCTCTGTTCTGGTTTAACTGTTTGAGGGCGGTGATGGAGATTGCACTAAGGTAGGAGCAGGGAGAGGGTAAAAGGACCACCTCCGAGTCCTCTGGCTGGGGCTGCCTTTCTTTCTCTCTCTCTCCAGGCTGAGCAGGACATAAGGGGACCTGCTTGAGTAGGGCTGGGGCCAGAGGCCAACCTGGACTCAAGCTGACAGTACCTCAATGAGCTCCGAGATGCCCTGTGGAGCTTCTGTTTCAGGGGCCTCTGGTCCCCCAGGCTTGGCCGCCACAGGTATAATTGGTGCACCTCGGAACCTGCAACAGAAAACAAGTCCCATCCCAGTTACCGAGATCGTCAGCATGGACACAGAGCATGTCTGTGGAGCACCTGGCAAAGGACCAAGCATGACAGGACTTCTTTCCTTTCTTCCTTTCAAAAGCACCCAGGAAGAGGGTGTCATGGTATCCCATTTGGCAGATAACAAACTAGAGGTCCCAAAGAGAAATGCCTTGTATTGAACAACAGAATTTAAAAGGGTGCCCCAGGGTTAACCTCCACCTTCAGAACCCTCCCTGAGGAAGTACCAGTGAACCTTGGTCCCCAGGCCTCTGAATAAAAGACCCCCTTGAAGAAGACCAATAAATACATAGCAGCCTCCTGAAGAGACTCAGGAAATACTGGTGACCAAAAAGCCCCTGCAGATGCACCAGGAAGCACACCTCTACCATCGCAGTGTCTAACAGAGGGCACTCCTTCCAGGGCCCTCCAGAGAGCCCTGCCTCCTTAAGAAGAGATTCTTACTGTGAGTAAGCATTTATTTTTTCCATTGGGGGAAAAAATTGGAAAAGAGAAAATAACCCACAATCCCATCATCAGGGTGTGCTTTCTTCCAACCTTGGTTTTTCCATGCATTGCCAAGGGATTATTTTTTTCATATTTTGGTTACAGTATACATACAATTTCATATCCTTCTAGTTTATTTACCATTATATCATAAAGAATTTTCTGTTGAATGATAGCAACAAGAACAACGATAATAAATTACTTGGCTGAGGCAAGCATATAACCTGGACACTTTCACTGAAACCTCACAACACCACTATGGAGTTGTCACCATTTTATAGACGAGAAATGCAGGCTTAGAAAGGCTAACTAATTTGCTCCAAGTCATTGGCTATAAATCTCAGAGCTAAATTCAAACCCAGCCCATCTGACTCTAGAATCAAGGCTCACACCTCCATGTTATACTTCCACCTCCTCAGGCCTCTTCTTTCATTTTGACAGCTGCATAATAGAGCAACCCAGAATTTACATGCTTTCTCCCCTACTGTTACTCATTTAGAATATTTCAAATTTTTCAGTATTACAAATAACACTGTGATAAACATGTTGATAGATAAGACAGACTTTTTTTTTTTTTCTTTGCCTTGGCTTTGGGATAAATTTATGGGGAATACATCTAAGACTCAACATACATTGAAAAATCAGCAAAATGGCAGAGTAAGGATACCCAAAAAGCCTCTCCTCCGTAAAAGCATTAAGAACACTGGCAAAAAATATCAGAATCAACTTTTTCAGAACTCTGGAAATTAACTAAAGACTTTCAATAATGTGTGGAATGTTTATTCAAGAAAAACAGCTGAATTTCAGTAAAATAAGAGGGCTCTGTGGAATTTTAATTTGCCCTATTCCCACCCACCCCTCCCTAACTCTGTGGTAGCCTTAATAACCAGCATCTGCAATCAGAGTGGAAACCAGCAGCCTGACAGCCACTGAAGGAGGCAGAATGAATTTGAGTTCCATCAAAGCGCCTTTCCCAGAGAACTGTCATGATTTTTCCTATGTGGCATTCCCTGGAAGACCCCACTTGCACGGCTTTCTTTATTTGACCTGCTTTGGAGCTTGCCCAGTGCAAACAGCCTTTTCCTCAGGGGCATTTGTTGAAAATAATCAGAGGCAATTGTTTAACATCATGGCTGTCTGAGGCAGAGGATAACAGTTTGGGCAAACAACAGGCTGACCAAAAAGCTTAGAAGGAATAGCTTGGGGACTTCCATGGGAGACTTGGAAAATCTCTGACATATTCCTGGGAATCCAGAAGGCTACTTAAAGGCATTGGACTGTGGGCATGCCCAAGGCACTGGGCATGGTCAAGAAAGCCATGAGAAGACCCTAAGCTCTCATCTCTGGTTGACCTTGGGGTTCTATGCAAGCAAGAAGTGAAGGCTGAGGCAAAGTTGTCAGTTGCCTGCCTGAGCGTTGAAAGCATGCCCCAACATGCACATAAAGACCTTTGGCAAAGACTCGGAGACTTACTGGTTCCAGGCATTTAAGGAAATCTCTGTCTGATCATTAGCTGACCACTAAGCTAAATAAGCAGAGGTTGGTCACACATGACTTCACAGAACTAGCTCACAAAAGTCACTAAGCAAATAACAACAACCATGGGAATGTGAGGGAAGAAGAGAATCTGATTTCTAAAATTGCCACATTATATTATTCAAAATGTCTAGTTTTCAACAAACATTCACAATACATGCAAAGAAATAAGAGTATGGCCCATACACAAGAAAAAAAAGGAATTAATAGAAATTGTTGCTGAGGAAACCCTACTAGACAAACACTTTAAATCAGCTGTTTTAAGTATGTTCAAAGAAATAAAGGAAACCATTTCTAAAGAACTAAACAAAAGAATGAGGATAATGTCTCATCAAATAAAGAATAGCAAAAAAGAGTTAGAAATTATAAAAAAGAACCAAATAGAAATTCTGGAGTTGAAAAATACAAGCTCTGGAATTTAAAAATCCACTACAGGAGGTCAATAGCATATTTCAGCAAGTAGAAGAATCAATAAACTTGAAGATAGGTCAATTGAGATTCTCCAGTCTGAGGAAAACAAAGAAAAAAGAATGAAGAAAAATGAACACAGCCTCAAAGACATGAGACATCATAAAGCATATCAACATATGCATAATAAAAATTTCAGAAAAAAAGGAGAAAAAGGGGCAAAAAGAATATCTGAATAAACTTTAAAAACTTCTCAAATTTGATGAAAAATATTAATCTGCACATCCAAGAAGCTCAATAAACTCCCAGTAAGCTAAACGCAAAGAGATCCACACCTAGACACATCATAATCAAACCGTTGAAGGCCAAAGACAAAAAGAATCTTTAAAGTAGCAAGAGAAAAGTGACTTATTCATGTACAAAGCATCCTCAATAAGACTGACAACTGATTTCTCACCAGAAATCATGGCAGCCCAAAGGTAATGGGATGATGTATTCAAAGTGCTGGAAGTAACAAAACAAAACAAAACAAAAGCAAACTCAATTAAGTACTCTATATGCAGCAAAAAATATGTTTCAAAAATGAAGGAGTGGGGCCAGCCCCGTGGCATAGTGGTTGAGTTTGGCATGCTCTGCTTTGGTGGCTCGGGTTCGCGGGTTCGGATCCCAGGCGCAGACCTACACCACTCATCAGCGGCCATGCTGAGATGGCAACCCACATACAAAATAGAGGAAAACTGGCACAGATGTTAGCTCAGCGCAAATCTTCCTCAAGCAAAAAAACAAACAAACAAAAAAAGACTGGCAACAGATGTTAGCTCAGGGCGAATATTCCTCAGCAAAAAAATAAATAAATAAAGGAGCATATAGAATTACCATATGACCCAGAAATTCCCTAAGTATATACCCAAAAGATCCAAAAACAAGTACTCAAACAAATACATGTACACATATGTTCACAGCAGCACTATTCACAACAACAAAAAGCTGGAAAAAGCCCAAATGTCCATCAATGCTAAGTGAAAGAAGTCAGACACAAAAGGTCACATATTGTGAGATTCCACTTATATGAAATATCCAGAACAGGCACATCTATTGAGACAGAACACAAACTGGTGGTTCCCTGGGCTAGAGGGCAGAGAGAATAGGGAGTAACTGCTCAGTGGGTACAGGGTTTCTGAAATTAGTGGTGATGATTACATAACTCTGTACACATTAAAAGGGTGAATTTTATGGTATGTTAATTATATCTCAATTAAAAAGAAAAAACATACATTGAAAGGTTTGCTACCCTTTCACTACCACAATGAACATCTGAGATGCCTATTCCACTGCACATACATCAAAATCTCACTATTTTTACACATATCTCATTTTAATTTGTATTTCCTTAATAAGTCATATAACATTGAACTACTTCCATCTATGTCTTTACTAAATATATCTCCAGGAGACATTTCTGCACCACTTCTAGTTCTGAACTTTGCTTCCTCCAATAAGTGCCATGCTTACCTTCCCCTGACTCTAAAAACTGCCCTTAAGTGCCTCTTCGTATGCAGTGAGTGGAAGGGACAGGGTAATTTACCTACCGTACCAGCACCTGTGCTAGCGGTTTCACACTCCTTACCTCCTCACCACAAGTTTGTGAGGTGGCTGTTATTACTCCTCCTCCCATTGTACAGAAGAGGGTCCTAAGCTTGGCGAGCTTCTGTAGCTTGCTCCTGGTCACAAACTAATGAGTGGTAGGGCTGTGATGAAAAGCCAACTCTGGGTTTGCCATCCACCTTGAAAATATCATGAGAAAGCTCCATCAGCCTGGGTTAGAGGCAGGATTGTGTCTCTTCTCCAATCCATGAGTATCTGGGAAGTGGCTGATGTTCAAAGATCAGGGAACATAATATATTTAAGCCCCATAAACAGATTAACAAAACCCTTGCCCTCTAGTAATTTATTTCTCAAACCAATGAAAGAAAGATAAATATAACTATAATTATGGTATTCAATATTCTTACAGTTTGCTATCACTTTCAAATAAAGCATTAATTTATTGTATCCTTAAAACAACCCTCTGAGAATCATTCCTTTATTCACCAAACATTAATTAAGTACTATGACACAGCACTTGGCAAAATGCTTTCATACACATCACCCCATTTAATCATCATAGTAATGACGTGAGGGACTACATCGTCATTTTAGAGATGGAGAAACTGGGGCACAGAGAGATTAAATGACTGCTAAAGGGTCACATGGGAAGTAAATGGCAGAAGCAAGGAGCCCAGAACTCTGCTCTCTGGTCCCAAAAGCCCTGTTCCAGAGCTCTGTTCTTCCCACCATGCTGGACATCCCAAGGATCACCTCCACCCTCCCTCACCAGGGACAACGACTACTCTCTCAGATGTCACTACTGGTCTTTGAAAATACAAGAATAGAAGATGGAGCCGTTGCCGCCTACCTACCCCTTGCCCTGAGCATAGGGAAGGGAGGACAAACCTTTGTGGTTGCTCTGCTCCATCCCCTTCTGCCT